TTTTTTGGTGACTCAAAAAGTGTTGCTATAACAAAAAAAAAAATTTAAATAAATCCAAGTAATAAAGTGTCTTTATAAATTAAAGTCAAACTATGAAAATGTATTTGTTTGCTTTGATTTATAATTTATCATTGTAATTTTTTTTAGAACTTTAAAGTTACTCCGATTGATAAATCCTCCATATCTTTTAGACTTATTCTGTATTTTGACTAACATTTCTAATGAAATTGAGACAAAAAACTGTTCAGACAATATGTTTTATTCTCCATGAAGATGTCACACAGCATATGAAGTAATCCTGCAGTTATTGAAACTAACAACAGATGCTCCACGGAACAAAACAGCTTTAATTCTTTACTTCTGTTCTGTTTTGTGGTTTTTGTACTAAAAAATGACTAAAATCATGACACTAATGTCACTAAACTGTTCTGCAGGTTCATTTCAGTTCTTTGCTGGATCTCCACAGTTTTCTTGAAAAGAAATTGAATTTAAAAAAAAAAAGTAGAAAGATTTTCCATAACTCTTTTTCCATTCCCATTTTGTCCAATTAATTACCAGCCACAAGACATATCTTGGAAAAACCTAGAGTTTTAGTGTGTCCTCACTGAGATTGTCAAACATATTTTATTTTTTCTTGTTTGCTTCTTTTTGACAGTTTTAGATCTCTTGAATGAGACAGTAAAACACTGAAAAGATAATTATTTTATGAGAAACAAACGTTCGACAACAGTTTTTCCTTCTTTGTAGTGAGAGCAGAGGCAGCTCCCTCTGATCACTGCTGTTTGACCGTTTTTGTAAGTCTCGTCATGTAAGCAAGGGTAAAACTGAGCAACTATTCAAATGTTATTAAACTTTGTCCAAAGTTGGACATTCGCAATAGAAAAGGGTAATATTTGGTACAATTTGGGGTCACCTTTTTGAAAATGGTTAAATAGATGAAGCTCTTACAGTGGATGCATTCTGGGTGTCTAATCAAAAAGAGGTAACACTTATTCTTATTTTACAACTTGTTTAAAGGTAAAAAAAATGCAAATAAAATCAAAGTCATTACAATGTGCCTGTAAACAGCTAAGTAATGGATTACAGTGTGGAGATTGTAGCACGGTGGCACAGTTGGTAGAGCTGCTGCCTCTCAGCGAGCAGGTTACGTTGACCCAGTCCATGGACCTTTTTGGGTGGAGTTTGCATGTTTTCTTCGTGCATGTGTGGGTTTTCTCCAGGTACTCCAGTTTCCTCCCACAGACCAAAAACATGTATGTTAGGCTGATTGGTACCCCGCCTCTTGCACCGTGATGGCTGGACATGGGCATCAGAGACCTCCGCAACACGAAAAGAAATAAGCGGGTAAAGATAATGGATGGATGGATGAATTTGCAGCTCCACCTGATGGCAGCAGATTAATCTACAGTGAGCAGCAACAACAGGGTTCTGTGTCACGTTCTAAAAACAGATACTTTTCTTTTCTGGTGTAAAATTAGGGCTTTGTTTATAAACTGATCAATGCTGGAATGCAAATAGCATGCGTGCATGTGTGTGTGTGTGTGTGTAGGGTCTGGAGGTCCTCCCCCAGAAAATTTTGAATAAAGTAGATGCAATTTCCTGCATTTTGCATTTTGATGTATTTTAACAGGTTGTTAAACATCTACGTTTACCTAGATTTGTGAACACACCTCTTCTGTCAAGCATCCTACCCCCCCACCCCCCACCCACACACACACACACACTTGACTGTTCTGAGCCGACGTACGATTGCCTGGTTAACTCGGCACTCCCCCCACCACTCACTCGCTCCTCCTCCAATTTTGACTCTCTTGGCTTTAAGGTGTTTCAATTCTCAGTTGTCCAACTAAGGGCAATTTTTTATAATATTTTTTATTTAATGAAAGTAAATTGCACTGTCTTTTCAACATTTTCATCACTTTTATTTTGACAAATTAGCGTCGTTGTTTTGATATGCAATGTGAATAATACACATCAAACATTTCTCTTCTTGTATTTTTAATTAATAATCAAAAAATGTATTAATGACCCACTTAAACTGTCAAACTGATTTGCAGTAGAAGCAGAAATGCTTCCTTGAAGGGGCAGCTCGTATGCGATATTAGGAAGTCGTAAGTGGCTGTTGTGTTTAAAATGAGTGTTTATGTAATTATTTTCAGTTTACATATCCAATATAGGTTTTATTCATTCAAGGCAGTCATAATGTTCATAATGTTATTATTAGTAAGTCTGAGAGTTACCGCATCCAAGCAGTTACCAGAATGCACGCTGTCAAAATAAGAGTTCCCAGATCCTGTTCCAGCAGGATCCAGCTCAAATTAAGCCATGTGTAAAATCATCCTTTTTTTTAATTATGTTTTGTTCACTTTTGTCTGTGACATGTCTGTTCATCTTTAGTTTCATGCTTTGGGACTGAATTACACTGGTATGTTATCAGGGTAACAAACCTGTTAATATTTCATCTAAATCCTGATTTTTAAATCCAAGAGGAAGCTGAATCGTTTCTGTTGAGCTTTATTCACGTCCCACTGCAAGGTGACAAAGAAGGTTACATTTCTAAAAAAAAAAAAAAAAAAAAAGTTTATTATTAACTGATCAATAACCTTGATTTATTTTTACCTCAGTTAAATTGTGAACAAAAAATAGCTGCTTTTTATGGAGTTTTGTCCAACTCAGAGTCACAGTGACGTGCACACTGTGACGTGCACACTGTGACGTGCACACTGTGACGTGCACACTGTGATGTGCACACTGTGGCGGGGGCTGGAAAAAGTTTTAATGGACGACTGGTTGCTTGTTGATGTTTGGGGCCAAACTCCTCCCTGCAGAATATAACTGTCCACAACACATTAACGATCAATCACAGCCCATCCATCGAACGAGCTCATACAGCATGAGCAGCATGCTTCAAGAGATCATGGCCTTTGTTTTAACCACATCAGGGTGGGTGCTGGTGTCTTCCACCCTGCCGACGGACTACTGGAAGGTCTCGTCCCTCGACGGAACAGTAATCACCACAGCTACCTATTGGTCCAATCTGTGGAAGACATGCGTCACTGATTCAACAGGAGTCTCCAACTGCAAAGACTTTCCCTCCATGCTGGCGATGGATGGTCAGCCTCCTTTTGCTCTTTTCTGATGATCGGTTGTCGACTAACTTTATTTTCACCTTGCTCATTTTTGGTTTCAGTTTTGTAAAAAGAAATCAACTCTAAGTACTAGTTCAATCAAACTGTAATGCAAGCATCAGTGGAAGGACTCATTTACCTGCAAATATGTCAATGTTTAGCCTTTGTTTCTGGAGCTTGAAAACTATAAAGGAGATTTACTGAGAACCTTGGGCAGTTTTGGACTGTGCATGACTGTTTTCAGGGGTTCACTTATGAGGTAACGTTTGCTTGAGCAACAGGTTTCATACCAGCTAAAGTCACCACAAAACCCATAAAGTGCCTGAAAGCTATTTAAGCTACATGAGACAAATTAAATCACTGGCTTTTGTTTAAAATGCTCAATAGGTCAGTTACTTATTGACCTTTCAGGCTACAGAGAAGAAAAAAAACAACAACTCTAAAACAAAGACAGACAAATCTTTGGACTGAAAACTAGTCTGCTTTTGTTTTCCAGGTTACCTCCAGGCCTGCAGAGGGTTGATGATTGCAGCTGTCTGTTTGGGGTTTTTTGGTTCTTTATTTGCCCTCGTGGGGATGAAATGCACTAAAATTGGAGGAAGTGATAAAAATAAAGCCAAGATCGCTTGCTTTGCTGGCATAGATTTCATTCTAAGTGGTGAGTCTAAGCGATCTGTTTGCGTATCAATGATTTTCGTGATGACAATAAGTTAATTTTTTTCTGCCTTGTTTGTTTCAGGTCTCTGCTCACTTTCTGCTTGTTCTCTTTATGCTCATCGGATAACCTCTGAGTTTTTTGACCCGATGTTTGTGGCTCAGAAGTAAGCGTCATCATTTATTTTTGAATGTTTGTTGAACAGTTTGAGCCACATTTCTCTCCTCCAGCAGGGAGCCTTGTTGTATTTGATCCATTTGTTCTTCTCTGTTAAAACTCATACTGCAGCTTGGTGCCACTATACATTTGATTTTGGCTTCTAACTACCAAACCCTTTCCAGATTGGTCTTAAATTAGATAGCATATTAAAAGCGAATTAAAAAGTTTTGGATTTTAGAGAAATCCCAAAATACACTAAACCTATTTTTGTTGACTTCTCTTAGAAGTGCAAACCTATTTGACATCATATTTTCTAGAAAACAACCTACCAGAACCAAATTTCACGAATGTCAGCAGTAAAAGTGAGTAGTTGATTTTGCTAAAACATTTCTGCAGATTTGGTTCTAATTTTAAAATCTTATTTTGAAAGAAGCTGCAAGGGAAGCCAAGTAAGGGTTAGTAAAAGTGGGCGTGGCTTTTGATTGATAATGTTAATAAATTTGACCATTCAAAAGTCACATATATTTGTCCTACAAATCTAAGATTTAAAAGACACATTCTTTGAGTATGGTCCTTTTGAAAGTCCATTACTTATGAAAAAGAAAATGCTCACAAATGTTAGTATGTCTGACCCACATGTGTCAGCTAATACAAAATTTGGCAGACATCTTGGGCGAACATTCACTGCAAACCTCTTCATCTTGTTTGGATCATTTGAATCGCTTATGTCCAGTAAACTGCAGGTTTAGTGGTTTTGATGTTTGTAGTTTTTTTGATTATTATTAATTCAGTTTTATTGAATTGGACTGATTTCACAAAGTTTCCCTTAACAACACTGAGTTCTATAAGCTTAGAATTTTATCACTTTTTAAAGATGTAAACCTAAAAGTTTCTATAGCAAAGACAGCCCACCAGATGGGAGTAAAAATTCACCAAACTTGCATTTAAAAATGTCTATCAGGAGTGGTCATTTATTGAGGTTTTAGGAGCTTGAGGGTACACAAAAATTTTAGGAGTACGCCTCCCTGACAGAGAATCAGCTACTAATGTATTATTTGGGGCTGTTACTTGGATAGTCCACAAGTCTGCTTGTTTGCTGGGTTTGCAAGTTGTCAGGAGTGTTGTGTGAGGGATGTTTGGGCTGCTGTGGATGAGTGGTTAGAGCAGTCATCCTCCAATGCAAGAGCTGGGGGTTCGATTCCACCAGCAGTCACAAGCTGAAGTGTCCCTGGGCAAGACACTGAACCCTCAGTGCCTCTGATGTGTGTCCCATGTTTCTGGGTGGAGTTTGCATGTTCTCTCCGTGCATGCGTGGGTTTTCTTCAGGTACTCCAGTTTCCTCCCACAGACCAAAAACATTCAGTACATGTTAGGCTGATTGGTAACTCTAAATTATCCCTAGGTGTGAGTGAGAGAGTGAATGGTTGTTTGTCTCTATTTGTCCCTGTGATGGACTGGGGACCTGTCCAGGGTGTACCCTGCCCCTCGTACAGTGATTGCTGGACATGGGCACCGACGACCCCCGTGACCCACAATGGAAGAAGCGGGTAAAAAATAATGGATGGATGAATTGTACCGATCTAGTAGAGTGCTGTATGAATGGGTAAATGAGGGCATAGATTGTAGTGTGAATTGATTTGAGTATAGCTATATATATACATATAGTTGAGTTATATACAGTAAGTACAGTCCATATGCCATGTGTAGCAGGGGCTTGGACACATTTAATAACTGCTTGCACTCATCCAACAAAGTTTAGTCAGGTCATCTGGATGGTTTCTTTTTTTGTTGAGACATTTCATCATTCATCCGAAGGACTTCATCAGTGTGAAGTAGCAGAGTGTGCTGCTTGTGGGACTGAGCTTGTTGGGGCTCCTCGAACTGATGAAGTCCCTTGGATGAAAAATGAAATGTCCATCCATCCATCCATTATTTTTCACCGCTTCTTCCTTTTTGGGTCATGGGGTTCACTGGTGCCCATGACCAGTCATCAGTGTGCGAGAGGCGGGGTACACCCTGGACAGCTCGTAAGTCCATCACAGGGACACATAGATACAAACAACCATTCACTTTCACTCACACTTAGGGGCAGTTTAGAGTTACCAGTCAGCCTAACATGCATGTTTTAGGTCTGTGGGAGAAAACCGGAGTACCTGGAGAAACCCACGCATGCACGGAGAGAACATACAAACTCCACCCAGAAAGGCCCCCGGACCAGGATTTGAACCAAGGTAACCTGCTCGCTGAGAGGCAGCAGCTCTACCAGTTCCATGCTGCCATGAAACGTCTCAACAAAGGAAGAAACCATACAGATGACCTGAATGAACTTTGTTGGATTTTTTTACCTGGATTATTGAGCATGAACTTTGATGTTTTGAACCACTTTGGCTATGGCTGTCTCAGAAGGGGTCGACAGAGGAGAAGGCGGGCCCCTCAAACCATCTTGTCATCAGCAAACTGGTTGGCCCGCTATGTGAGTGTGTTGCTTGTGGCTCCTTGGTTTAATGAAGTCCTTTGAATGAAGGACAAAACGTCTCAACAACAAAATAAATCGTCCAAATGACCTGACTGAACTTTGTTGGATTTTTAACCTGGATTACTGAGCGTGAACTTTGATGCTTGCACTTATAGTTTTGACTTGTTTTTATTTGCCTTAGGTATGAGCTTGGGGCTGCGCTCTTCATTGGCTGGGCAGGTTCCATCCTCTGCATCCTTGGAGGAAGTATCTTCTGCTTCTCAATAACAAGTTCCTTTTCCAAAAGGTTTATACAAGCAACAAATTATTGATTAGTAAGTAGAGTGTAGGGCGACTAACTGTCATGTTCTGTCTTCCTACAGGCAGAGTCAGATAAACTATGTGTACAAGGGGCGTGTCTCACATTCACACATCTCCTCCTACACCAGAGGGCAAACGAAATCTGTAAACGAGAGGCCGCCTGCAGAAAACAGCAGCCCCGCCAAGATTCAGCACTTCGATAGGAATGCGTATGTGTGAGGGGTGTGATTCTTCAGGGGGTGTTAAAGGTTTTACATTAAGTTTGTTCGTCAACAGAAGTCACTGTAACTGATTTGTATCATAGCTCGCCAGGAGTTAAGTTTAAAATTCATTCATGTTTCTTCAAGGAGGATGAAGTAAATGTTTTCAGATACAGTTCAATCAATGAACTCAGGATATTTTGTTCCTCAGTCTGTTCTACTCTGCAAGATGTGGTCAAATGTTTACAAAAACTCACCATGGACATGGTTGTTACCTCAACTTTGGGAATTACATGATTTATTTGAACAGGGCTTTTTCTAGGGTGGAATGATAATACAGCATACATTTCAATAATTTATTTTATTTTATTCAAATCCACACTGGATAACATTATACAAACAGGCTCAATACCTCAAATGTTCTTTCGTAAGTTGTACCTTGAGAGTCTTTGTCCTACTCCTGGTATAATTCTGGCTGGATATTTGACCTCTCCTCTTGGCAGAAATGGTAGAATTAGTTATTTTGGTTGGTTTCCTGACATGGTTCCACCTATTAAACCAATGGTGGGCAACATTTTATTTCCAGAGAGTCAAATGGAGTTATTTTAAGCAATAGAAGAGCCGCATAGTAATTTGGAAAATAAATTTTCTTTAAGACAGATAATCTGGAAGATATTTAGATGCCTTTTCTTGTTATAGCACAGTTATCCATCCATCCATCCATCCATTATCTTTACCCGCTTATTCCATTTTGGGTCACGGGGGTCGCTGGTGCCCATGTCCAGTACTCACTGTGCGAGGGGCGGGGTACACCCTGGACGAGTCACAAGTCCATCACAGGGCCACATAGAGACAAACGAGACAAACAACCATTCACTCTCTCACTCACACCTAGGGACAATTTAGAGTTACCAATCAGCCTAACATGCATGTTTTTGGTCTGTGGGAGGAAACCGGAGCACCCGGAGAAAACCCACGCATGCACGGAGAGAACATGCAAACTCCACCCAGAAAGGCCCCTGGACCGGGGTTTTGAACCAAGGACCTGCTCGCTGAGAGGCAGCAGCTCTACCAGTTGCGCCACCGTGCTGCATAGCATAGTTATCATGCTTGATAAAAGTATGTCTCCCTAATACCCTTCGGAATATAGGACCAAATATCTGTAAACTGGCTCATGGCAACAGCTTTATTAGCTTAAAATAAGTAAAAACCTGTTATACATTTCCTTTATGGATTCTTTAAATTTAAGTCTAGTTCCGGAAACAAAAACAAACTAACAAAAAAAAATTTACAAAGCAAAAAAAAGTTTTGGCAGTTTTAATTTAAAAGGTTCAACATGTATTTGTTTAAGAAGTTTCCAATTTTATTGTTTTAGCTTTCATTGATTACAGTAAATGCAGATTTTCATCAGATATTTTTTTTTCTTTTCAGTTAAGGATGTTGGGGGGTTATATGGAGATTGCTCAAGGGCCACTTATTGCCATATATTGCCCATGTATGTTTTAAACATAGTCCCCAATTTTTTTAATTGGATTAGGGCTGTGGAATGAGAGTTCAAAATCTTCATGTTAGTCTGTTTTATCCAGACTGGTTTTAATGTGTGTTTGAAGTCATTCTTCTGTTGAAACACCCAAAGTTATCCCAATTTTAAATATCTGTTGTTTAATTCATTTAATCTAGTAATGATTGGTTAAAGTGGGCGTGGGTTTTAATTAAAAATAAATATATAAATTTGACCATTATAAAACCACACCATGACTCTTCCAAATATACTTCCTGTCATAGCTGAGTCTCATTTTACAACCTTTCTACTCACCTTACTGAAAAAAAAAATTGGTGAACATATGTATTGTATATATTTATTATTGTGGGGGGAATCCACAATAAATCCAAACATGCACACCCATTTATTTTTTTATTTTTTTATTCATTCAAGTTTTATGTTGTATTATAATTCCTATATTGAAAAAAAAGTTCAAATATGTTGATAACAGCCTGAATTTATGTCAATCAAGACCATGATGGGTGTATGTAAACATTTTGACTGCAACTGGAAGTTTTGATTATAAAACGGCAAAATCTAAAACATGGTCAGTTAGTTTACCACTTTAATCAAACATTTGCAACTTTATCACTGTTTTGTAAATAGCAAAAAAAGTGTATTTTATATGGAAAAAATAAAAACATAAATAATTGTATTGGTTGTACATGTTTGTGGTTTTTGTACAATGGCAGTACTTCAAATTGTGTATGTGTATTATTGTGTAATACATGTACATTTTTATCAGTGAGGTCATCTGGACAATTTCTTTTTGTTTCTTTTTTTTTTTTTCCTGAGACATTTTGTCCTTCATCCAAAGGACTTCTTCAATCTGAGGAGCCACCAACAAACTGAGCATGAACTTTGGTGTTTTGAACCACTTTGGCATGGCTGCTTCAGAGGACTTGATGGGGGAGAGGGCGAGCCACGGAGGCCATCTTATCACCAGCAAACTGTTTTTTTAATTATTTTTTTTCCCCCACTATGTGAGTGTGCTGTTTGTGGGACTCATTTTGTTGGTATATCCTCAGATTGAAGAAGTCCTTTGGATGAAGGACGAAACATCTCAGCAAGAAAAAGAAGCCATCCAGATGAACTGACTGAACATTGTTGGATTTTTAACTGGATTATTTCACATTAACTTTGGTGTTTTGAGACATTAAATCTTGTTTTATGTAGTATAAACATAAACCTTTTGTAACTCAAAGGGAAAAATGTTTTAGCCAATTGTGCGGTTTTGATTTCTACATGATTTCACAGATACTGTGTGTTTTTCTGATTTTTTTTATTGGGTCTTCAGATGGCAGTGCTTTGGCTTTTATTTTCAAATAATCTTAGACATCATCACCATAACACTATTGGTTGGTAATAACCTTCCAATACATTAAAACTGTATTTTCTGGTGACTAAAATGTAAACACATATGGTCATGTATTTCATCAAATGGAAAAGTATCAACTGAAAAGTGTAGCTTGAGGTGATAAAGCATCCCAAAACATGAGGCATATTCCCTAAAGTTTACTGAAAACATCTTACCCGTCTTCCAGAGCCCCTATCAACACCAGAAGCACCGACACACAGTCATCCTCTCCACCCTCCTTTCTGACGTGTACAGCTAAACATCCAAGTGTATGTTCCGACTGTTTTTCAAATGCTCCTTTAACACATTTCTTCAATTTAGCAATGAGGAAGCGTTTGATCCAAATATTTGGTTTCTTGATCTCATCGTTGGGGTGGCTGTTTGTGTTGTGCACCATGGCAATGGACAACTGGAGAATCAGTCAAGTAGGAGGTGAAGGTGGTTCTTATATCATCAAGGTGGCTTGGTACTGGTCCAACCTGTGGAAGGACTGCTACACTGAATCCACAGCTGTCACCCACTGCAGAGACTACACGGTCATCTGGAACGTCGTCTGTAAGTTGCAAACCAAAGAAATAAAGCTGTATTTGAAACATGTTACTGTTCTGTTGTTGAGCAGGCAGAGGATGGTGCAGCTTTGATACTGCGGTACTCCTCAAAGAAAAACAGAATTTAAACTTAACCCGAAGCTAATGTATCATTTAAAGTGGTAAAACAATAGCGATAATTGTTCTTGTTTAAGTTTGTGTCACCAGTTTGAGTGTTTGGATGACAGCCTCCATGGTTGAACATCCTGGAGTAACCAGAAGACTGCTAACAGGTTGCTAAATGTTCCAAACTAATTTTGAGAACTGGTTTTCTGATACATTTCAAATTATCAATAAATCATCAATCAAATTAAAAACAACCCTCTTTGGGGTAAAGGAAATCATGACACTTCTACACTTGCATCACTGCCATCACATTTTCCATGCTCCCCCACCCTCCTCCCAGAACCTCAATACCCTCCAGCCATGTTAATGAGCCACCCTTAATTTTGTACCTTCTGAAAACCATACTGGGCTTAACACACTGTATTATGCGTAATTGGGAACCAGTTGTATGGTTAGTATGTGTCGGAAGACCTTGCCAAGACCCTGCAAAGACCACCTACATGACTAATTACTTTCCATAGCAGTGAGGTCATCATCCAGTTTGAAGAGACACCTTACACTTTTTGATGATCCATGCTGATGATTTCTTGCCTTTAAGCTGATGTATTCATACTCACCTGCTCACAACAGACTCATGTTCAGGCTGATGTTTAATACATCGTTATATTACCGTACTTATTATTGTTTAGTTTATAGCTTAGATCCTTATGTTTATATTTGCTATTTTGGGGTGTAACTGGGACCTTGAGTACACAGTTTCTTCCTTCTCATGTACCACATGTGATGCGAATGACAATAAAGAACCTTGAACCTTGAACACTGAAGATGGATAATTTTTTTTGTTCTCTTAACGTCCAAAAAAGTTCAATCTGGTCCTCTGGACATTCAAAAAAACAAAACAAAAAAAAAAAAGCAAAAGAATATAGAAACGTTTCGTCTCTCATCCAAGAGACTTCTTCAGTCTGAGGTGCTGTATTCAGCTCAGTCTCTTAAATAGCACCTTCTCAGAGTGGATCAACCAGTTTGCTGCTGACAACCAAACCCAGCTGCCCACATGCTCAAGAAGGACCATCAGCCTAACAATGGATCATTAGCACACTGATGGCTGTTTACTATTCACAGAGGGCTGAGTGATACTAGCAATCACAGCATTGTAAGAGGGGGACAGTTGAACCCGGAGGCCTCCACCCCTGTTTAATGATGGACGATTTCTTTTCACAAAGATGGCCTCCTTTACTCCTCTCTCAAACCATCGTTCCTCTCTGTCCAGGATGTGAACATCTTCATCCTTGAAAGAGTGACCGCTGGCCTGGAGATGAGTGTAGACCGCAGAGTCCTGGCCTGATGAGCATGTGCATCTTGAGCATGTGATCAGCTGGTTTTGGTTGTCAGCAGCAAACTGGTTGATCCACTCTGAGACGGTGCTATTTAAGAGACTGAGGTGAATGCAGCTCCTCAGACTGAGGAAGTCTCTCGGATGAGAGACGAAACATTTCTATATTTTTTGCTATGTTTTATTTTTTTTGAATGTCCAGAGGACCAGATTGAACTTTTTTGGATTTTTCTACCTGGATTATTGAGCATGCATCAGGATATTCTCTTATTGATTGTCATTATCTTACCGGAACACAAACTGTCTGTTTTCAGAACTTTACAGCACTGAGCCAAACAGTGCACACACAAGGACACAAGGGAAAGACACACAACCACACCAAGAAATCATTCTGAACCTGTGGAAACCTCAACTGTGCCCTACCTGTTTCTTCTGTCAGGCCAGACCAAGCAGAAACAACATTTCTTAAATGGTATATGACTTGTATTAATGGGTCAACAGTTTACCACCATTCTTTTGTTTAAACTGTAAACCACCTTTGCTCTTATATCACCTGTTCCAATAAAACCAAAGTAGAACAAATGTTTTGTTGCTGACATGTAACCATGCCACTGTGCACTATATTTGAGCTCTTCTATTCAGACCATTAACTTTCAGGCTGTGTAAACACTATAAAAGTCTGCCAAACATTACTTTGTCTTCATATAAAGGCATCAGTTGTCTTTTTTATTTGAGTATTTCTTTTCTTCATTTATTAATTGAAAGGGATAAAGCTTTTAAATCATTCTTAAGGAAAGTACTGGTGCTTTGGAGTAAACCAGCTTCTCCGTGTTCAGGCTGCTGTTTAATACACCATATTACATTACATTATTATTATTTAGCATATATCTTGGATCCTTGTATATTGTTTCTTGTTTTATACTTTAAATTTTTGCTATTTTTGGGTGTAACTGGAACCTTGAGTACACAATTTAGTTCCACC